TGGAATTTCTGGAAATTCCAGATTCCGGTTAATTTTTCCGGCCAAGTTTGAATTTTCCGGCGACAATTCGGCCAAATTTGAAGTTTTCGGCCACCTGCCCAGTTTCCGGCGAGGAATCCCAGAAACCGGCGAATATTCCCAGAAACCGGCCGACTTCCGGCCAAATTCCGGCGAAATTTCCAGATTCCGATGACTTTCCCAGAATTCGGCACCGGTGTTCTTTATTTTTTAGAGAGAAGGGAGAGAAAAAAAGAAGAAGAGAGAGAGAGGGAGAAGCGTTCTGCCAAAAAAACGAAGGGGATTGCCTTTTATACCCTCCCAAAACGACGTCGTTTTGGCTTTAAGTTAATCAGAGGATCCGCGCGTTTTGCCGTAACCCGACCCGACCCGGGCGTCGACCCGCTTTCTGACCCGCGCGTGCCAGCCCACTCCGAGCCGAGTCGAGCCGAGCCAAGCCGCCAAGCCGCTCCCCCGAGCCGTTTTCTCTTCCTTGAGCCGAGCCGAGCCGAGCCGCGATCCAAGCCGCTCCAGGTTTTTTTTTTTTTTTGAATTTTTTTGAATTTTTTTTATTTCTTTGTTTATTTGTTTATTTTATTTTTTATTTTTTATTTATTAGATTAGGTTTATGTAATATTCTTTTTATTTATTTTTTATTATTTTATTTTCTTTAAATAAAAATAAAAAAATTCTAAAAAAATATATTTTTAGGGAAAAGTTGAAAGTATCAATTTTCCTTAAAAGAAAAATAAATTTCCAAAAAATATTTTTGGGGAAAAGTTGAAAGTATCAATTTTCCTCAGAAAAAAATTTCAAAAAAATTATTTTTAGGGGAAAGTTGAAAGTATCAATTTTCCTTAAGAATAAATTTCCAAAATATATTTTTAGGGAAAAATTGAAAGTATCAATTTTCCTTAGAAATAAATTTCCAAAAAAAAATATTTTTGGGGAAAAGTTGAAAGTATCAATTTTCTTTAGAAATAAATTTCCAAAAAAAAATATTTTTAGGGAAAAGTTGAAAGTATCAATTTTCCTTGAAAATCAAAATTTCAAAAAAAAAATATTTTTGGGGAAAAGTTGAAAGTATCAATTTTTCTTAGAAATAAATTTTCAAAAAAGGGGTTTTTGAAGAAAAGTTGAAAGTATCAATTTTCCTTGAAAATCGAAATTTCCAAAAAATATTTTTGGGGAAAAGTTGAAAGTATCAATTTTCCCTAAAAAAAATCATTCTTTCCTTCCTTTCTATCTTAATTTTGATTTTGTTTTTTTCTTTAAATAATCCGACGACGGAGCCTCTGTAAGTGAAACAGTAGTTTTTCTTGCATACTCTTGAGGTGAGGGAATTTTCTCAATTTTCTGCTAAAAGTATTAGAGTCAATTGAGAATAATTTTCAATAATTAATTACTTGATAAAATTTTAAGGCTTTTGGATAACACAAATTTAAGCTGGTACCATCTTTTGATGGGCGTTGTGAGGGTGCTATAACCTTCCTTACACGTAACCGAACTCCCGAACCCTGTTCTGGTTAGTAGACCTGAACCTATTCTTTTAGGGGCCCTTAAACTTAAGTGTTCCCTTGAAGGACAGATTCCATAGGTGGCCAATCGCACCTAGATAAAAAAGATTGGTGGCGACTCCCTAAAAGTCAATGTCTAGCGATAGATCCCCGGATCTAGACGTTACGACAATAATATAAATATTATTATCAAAGTTACTATTTTGGATAAATAACTTGTTTTGATACATAAAGGCAATTTGAGAAATTTACACTACATTCCCAGTAATGTGATAGTTTACCAAACATTGTAATGTTATATTCCTTACATTTTAATCAGCATTTTACTATGTATGCTAAACGCTGCAATGTTATTTTTCCAGCATTTAATTTCCTACAATCACCTTCCCTGCGTTCACATTCATTGCAATTTAATTAATGATAAAGTATCAAATGCTATCTTAAAGTTACACTATAACAACCTGTTTATACCAATTTTATAATTTAAAAAAATAAAAAAGAATTCAAATTCAATTTTTCATATATATATATATATATATGTATATATATATGTTCATGTGATTATCAATGAACCAAAGTTTTAAAATTATATATAAACAAATGTGACTATCAATGAGCCAAAGTTTTAAAATTTTAATAAATATTACTAGAAATGTATAATGATTATTAGCAAGGAGTTTGTTTTTTAATTATACATCAATTGTGAAAATTTTAAATTTTAAATTTTATTAGTAGGGTTAGAATAATTGATATGAGTTCATTTATTAATTAATTAATTTTTTATTATACATAAATAAACCTTATTAAGACACTTGTCAACCTTTTAAGTCTGTAGTCTACCCCATGAGATAATTTTCCATTAGAAAAATCTTAATTTGACCTAAGAAAATTATAATAGTAGAAATGTAGAATCCTCCTTTTATAATCAAGTTTTTGTAGCCATCTCTTCGCTTAATCAATAAGATTTCATTTTTTGCATTAAAAAAATACATTGTTATTTGTACTCAATCATTTTATCTGTCTATTGGGAGCTGTATTTTCATACCATAGAGACTAATGTATTTTCATATATGAAATCAAGAGTGCTTCAAACTAAATTAAATCCATTTATGAAATTTAATCAGAATTTAATTATAAATATGTAACAATTTGTTAAATTAGCTCATGAAATTTAAAAAGTTTATCATTGATATGTGGGATAATTTTATTTTAATTGGCATAATTAACATCTTCACAATAAGTTGGTGTTAAAAAATTAAGGTTAAAAGGTTAATTCCTTAGCTATAATTAAAAAATCATTTAAGTTTATTTTTTATTATAATTAATCAATCCTTTTAATATTTATTTGCATCCAATTAAATTTTTATTATGATTAAAAAGTTAATATTGTTAATTTTTTGTCAATTAAAATAAAATTTTATGTGAAATCGATAAAATATATTAAAGTATATCATATGGTGTAATTAATATATATATGAAAATTAAATAAAATAAATTTTATCTATTTCGTTTCTTCTCTTTTAAGCTCCCTTTAAAAGTTTAATTAACTATAATTTAAAATTAATTAATTAAATTTTATCATGTGAGTAGATTTCATTCATTTAAAAACTTAATTGAATTATAATAAAATATTAAAAATTTTATTAATTATAATAAAATTTTAATTTTAATTTTTAAATAATTATTAAATTATAATTTAAATACATTTTTTACCCTTTAACTAAAAATTAACGACTCAGTATCAGCAGCAATTGTCGACATGAAAGGTCAATCGGTTATTAAGCATGTGCTTTGGCCATCTCTTTCCATAATTAAAGTTGAATAATTTAATTTGACCTCAATCATCCATTGCTTCTTAAAATTAAATAATTGCAATTCAGGACAAAATATAATTTATATATTTATTATGTATAAAATAATAGTAAATGATAATTTTTATATTCATATTATATTTTATACGAATATAATAATTTTTATATTTATATTATATTTTATATAAAAATTAAATATTATAATTTATATTAATATAAAAATATAAAATTTTTTATTTTATTTTATTAAGTTTATATATAAAATTTTTATTAAAATTTTAAATTATATTATTTTTATATTTTTTAATATTATTTTTATATTATATTATCGTATAGTATGTTTGATTGTTTGCCCTTTATTAATTTTAAGCCATTGTCTAAACAGTTAAGAGCTTTTCTTACCAGTCACTTCTTTCATCAAGTAATTGGACCTTTCACATTTCTCCCTACCACCGATTAAGGGGCCATTTAAATCATATGAAAACATGAGGGAGATGAGATTTGATCATTTTGTTTTAGGTGTAAACGCAAAATGCACGTATAAAATTTCATTACAAATGTACATATAAATTTTAAAGATTTGAATATAATTTAAAAAAATTAATTTTGTATGTATATTTTTATATTAAATTAATAAAATTATTTCGTGCATAATTCAAGTCATAATTTAGTGTATATATAAAATAATTTTTTTTGTAATAATAAAAAGAAATGAGAAAAAAGTTTTAAAATTAGTGATTAAAATAATTAATTAAGATGTATAAAATTTTTTTGTATAAATTTATTTTATTTACACATTATCTTCATTATTATCTTTATTTTGTCTCTCCTCTTCGGATTTTAAATTATTTTTTTAGCATGTAGCTTTAGCATAACCCATTAAAAAGAGAAGAGTTTTAGTTTGAAACCAAAACCTCAAAAAGCCCCTTGGAGTTGAGGACAGAATTTTGAATAATTAGCTTAAGAATACAGATAAAGAAAACAAATAATATATACTCAATTGTAGGAACAAATTACGGGAAAAAAGACAGCAATAGGCTGCAAAATGTTCACCCCAACAAAGCTGAGGAAAGACAAAGGCAGCAATAGGCTGATGTTGGCCGCAAACGATGTTAGTAGTAGATATTATACATATAAAAAGTGGCAGATCAAATCTTATGTCCTCTGTCGCCCCCCCCCCCCCCAAAAAAAAAAAAAAACTAATTATTTGTGATAAATATTTTTGAATATATAAAGATCATATTTTGTTGTATTCCTAAAATTCTTAATTCATAAATGAAAAATATAAATTGATTTAAAAACAAATCGCATGAATTGAATTTCATTCGTTATAAATTTTCTAATTTCACTGTACTAACTAAAAGAAAAGAATGAGCATTGAACTTTCTCTTGACAATCGAGGAAGTGAAGTTATGAACTGCATTTTGTCAAGGTAATGATGGGACTTCTATCCAAACACTTGGCGAAAGTGCTGACACAAGGGAGGGTTCATGATAAAACGGTACGCATGCTAGAGGTTTGCAATAAACTTAAACCCAAAAAATGGAATCTGAAAATGATATGATAAAAAAGTCAAAAGTCTCAAATTCAAAACAACTTCGAATCAAAATCTGGCCCCAACCAGAATAAACTCAAACTCGAACACTTAATATCCTTAGAAGTAGATCAATTGGTATTAAACTCAATGACTAAGGCAAAAACTTTACTGTAAGAAAGCACAACATAGTCCTCATTGGATAAATATAAAAGCATGTGCAAAACTAGACGCACAATATTTAACTTTGGGCAAATGGGGATAAGCCCCCTAAAACAAGTAGGAGTCAGTGATAGAAGCAGAACCCTGGTACCTAGTCCTGTGGGAGGTACAACATTAGCTGCTTATCAATCCCCAGAACATTTTAGCCCAAGAATCTCATATTCATAGTTGCTGCAGAAAACCTGCCCACAAAGGAAAACTAAGACCCCTCCACAGTCATCACCAGGCAATACTTCCGAAGACCTGGAAAATTAGGGAATATAATTGATTGTCAACAGCAGTATATTATAAGATTCAGAACACCTTCCTGGATAACATAAATTGACCTCTCCTGCAAGAGGAATAACATTGTAGAGAAAAATTCAACATTGTTGACTCTCCTGCATTAGACAATCTATTATGCAACTAATTCTTTTACTCCAAAATTCAACATTTATCTACAACCTTTAGCAAAAAAAAAAAAAAAGAAAGAAATCCAATCATTGGGTATAAAAACTGATGTGCAACAAACTTTTCCATAAAAGAAATATAAACAAAAAAAAATTCAAGAAAAGAAATACAAAAGGACATAAAAGATTGCATCTAATGTCAAGGAAGAAAGATTACCACACGCAGTGTTTCCAAAGAATAATCAAGCAATTCTCAATTTCAACAAAAGCTTCAATTATTGATAAAAAATTAAGCCAATCATTCAGGAGGTTGCTCAATAAGAACTAAAGAAACTCAAGCTCACAGTTGTTAATCCAAAACCAGGCAGTGCACATAGAACAAGAAACAAAACAAAACCAGGATATAAACAAGGCTTTCCCGGAAGCATCTAGGAAATCAACAAAATTTGACAATGTTTCAGAAATATGAATGGCAAAGTATAAGATAAATAAAGAATCAATGTAATGCACCTTTAGTTGTCTAACGCCTTTGAGTTTTTCCAATGGAGCGTTTCCCAGAAAATAAATGTTTTGGTTTCAATGTAGGAATAACTCTATCAGCCTCTCCACGACGAGCATCTTTGTTCCTCTTCTTAACAGATTTCTTTGCTAGTTTATGTGCCTTTACCTTTTGAGCAGAGTCCTTGAAGCCCTCTCCTGGTACAACTTCACTTGGAGGCCGCGATCGTGACCTTGACCTTGACATTGACAGGGACCTAGACCTCACACGTAGCATCTTATTTGGTCGGTCAACATCCATATCCATAGCCTCACCACCATCATCTCCTCTATCAAATGACCTCTCCCTTTTCCGGCCTCTTGACCTGCTGCGAACACGGTTAATTGCCATAGATGGATCCAGCCCCATATTTGACAGCTGTCTGCCCATTCTCTCTGTTGTAAACTCCCTGTACTTGTCAAACTTTCTTGGTACAGTGGGTCGACTCTCTGCAGTGCTTTTCTTGATCCTATGTTGTTGAATGAGCAAACTTTTCTTTTTACGGATTGCAGCCAGTGCTTCTTGCTCTTCAGGGGACAATTCATTACCATCCATTTCAAATTCAGTATCTTCTTCTTCTGCTTGCCGAAGACCCTCTTCTCTTTCCAACTCTTCAAGCCTTAATAAGATATCAGGATCAATGAAGTCATACACATTATGACCATCAAGAATTTCAGGCAATATATCTTCCTTCCATTCATTATTGGCCAAAATATAGTTCTTCCTCAAATTAGAAGAGTAAACACCAGCACCTCCATTTTCATCCTCCAAATCCTTTTCTGTCTTTCTCTTCTCCTGCTCTGCTGCTTGCTTAGCTTTAGCTTCCAAAACTGCCTGAGGTATGCAAGGTGGCCTCTCCTTCTGGTCACGTGGCTTTGGGATAGCAACATGAAACCTATTGAGGCAGTCATTAATCTTTTTTGATTTCATCTTCAATTCCACCCTCTGATTCAATAACCTCTCACAAGCTGCATTCTTCACAGCAATCACTCCATCCTGAGTCAAAGTGCTCATTGTCAACAGTACTCCCTCTTCATTTGAAGGCTCTCCTCCTTGACCCATCACAGTCTTAATGGCTTCAGCTTTCATTTCCATTACAAGCTTCATGTCTTCCTCAGATAACCTATCAAGAGGCTGCAAATCAGTCTTGTTGCAGACAATGATCAATGGTTTATTCATAAAAAGAGACTTGATGCTGTGAAAAAGAGCAGCCTGTTGGGCAATGCTATAGCCACATGAGCCTGAGATGTCCAAGAAGAACAACACTGCAGCTCGTAGGTGGGCTAGAGCGGTAATACTACACATCTCAATAATGTTACGATCTTCAAACGGCCTGTCCAAAATCCCCGGTGTATCAATCACCTGGTACCTGAGGTACTTATAATCTGTATGACCCACAAAAAGTGACTTCGTGGTGAATGCATAAGGTTGGACATCCACATCCGCCCTGGTGATCTTGTTCATAAATGAGCTTTTACCAACATTAGGATAGCCACAAATCAAGATTGTCCGAGTATTTGGGTCAATTGAAGGCAGCCTTGCCATGTGTTGTCTGATCTGCTCTAGATAAGCCAAACTTGGACCAATCCTTTTTATCACGGTACACATGCGACCTAAAGCAGCAACCTTCAAAGACTTACACCGATATAATGAGTCACCATACTTCAACAGCTTCACATAATCTTTAGCAATCTTACTAATAAGGTTCCTAGCTGTATTTATTTGGCCAAGAGCAAGCTTGTAATGGTCCTTGTTGTACAGCACATGAAGAAGGTCCCCGTAGAAAGGGTGGATATCATCCAGACGAGGGAACTCATCAATAATGGCTGTGAGCTTCTCGTGAAAATTCTGCTGTGTGTACTTCACTTTACGCATATAAAACTGGCGGAGACGGGAAATGGCATAGCCCTTGTGAACAACAGTTGGTGTTTGCCTTTGGGTGCGAGACAGAATGATATCAATAAAATCCTTCCCATTTGGTACAACAGTTATCTTCTTAAAGCTATATTGCACCATCTCTCTATATCACTCTGCAAAAAAAAACAAATATGGATTCAGCTAAATTCCAACTAACAAACAGCTAAAATTTTCAACAGATTTTCATTCTCAAAAATTCTGTCAGGTCATATTCTTCTGAAACATATGCCAAACATCCCGTCCATTTTATTTCGAATGAATCAATATAAAGAGAACGAAAAAATTCTTCAGAGTAACAAAATTTTTTCAATTAAACAGTGGAAAATACGAAGAGGGATTTAAATTAAAAAAAAAATCGAAAAGCAACTTTAGTAAACAATTTGACTCCAAAGAAATTTGTTCAGTCACAGATGACAGGGAACCCTAACTAAGCTAATCTCAAGTTGTATAGAAAATAATAAAATGAAAAACATTAATTCAAAAAAAATTGAAAACTCACAAAGGATTATAGTACATAATTCTCTAGCTACAAAAGGGAAAAGCTTAAGGAATCAAAACCTGGAAATTATGATTAACATGAATCCAGACTCGAAAATGAAAATGAAAATAAAAGAAATATACGATTCATTATAATCATAAAAGAATTTAAAAGTTCTCGATGATTTATCAAAATTATTAAGAATTAGAGCAATAATAATTTAATTTGAAGTATAGGGGCGTACCTTCGATATTTTGGCGCAGAGAAGATAAATGGCAGAGGAGCTGCTAGGGTTTGGGGGCTTATAATTTTAACAGACCTAAGGATTTCGGGTCGGATTTATTGTGGATCGGTTTAAGCTCCAACCGGATAACTTCAGTTGGGTTCGGTTACCCTAACCATTGTACTCGTGCTTTATTTTAGGCGCTGTTTTAAAAATTGAATAAATAGAAAATTAATAAAATTTAAGTATTAAATTTTTAATTTGAAAATTTTAAGTATTAAAATTATGATATAAAAATTGTTTAGTATGCTACTAAAATTAAATGATTAATAGAATTTTTATTAATTTTATATAAAATATATAATTTTATAATTATCTTGAATTAATAAAAGTTAAAAGATAATAATAAATAATTAAAAGGAAAAAATATGAAACTAAATGACTGATATAATTAGATAACATTCTTTTTTAAAATAAAATTGACTTAATATATTAAGTAGGTTTTAACTACTTAGCATTTTAATTTTTTATTAAAAACCTATCACTAAGTGGTTTTTAAAAATAATTTATCAAACGCATTAAAAATATTAAATCAATGAAATTTTTAATTTTTAATGATTTAAAATTTTTCAATAATTTATCAAACATATTTTGAAGACATTTGCATTTATTTTTAAAGTATAATAATTATAAATGATATTTTTTTAATTTTATATTTTAAAAATATTATTATTTTTTATTATATTTAAATACATTTTTAATTTTTAATTTGAGTCATTTTAAGTTTGAGTTGGGATTATATCTTAAAATCAAACAAGAAACTTCATTTGTTGTATATATAATCTGTGATTTGTTATAAAAAAGAAATTATAATTTATAATAATTGTGTTTTGCTCATATGAACAATGCCAACGATGCATTGAGATTGAAAGCCAAACATCATCATGAGACCATGATATGTAAGTGTTAGGTTTGATTTAATTATTTTAATTAATGTATAATATTATAAATTTAAAATTTTTGATTTAAAATTAAATTTTTTTAAAAAAATTAATTTAATTTAAATTTTTTGGTATTATTTAATATAATTTTTAATATATTTAAATAAATTTAAATATAAAATAATTATTTTTGTTAGCATTGAATTGATTTTTATTTTGAAATGATAAAATATTAAACTAAATAAGCTTGATTAAGATTTTGAAAAAGATTTATTTAGCATATATTCGTAAGTTCTATATTTTGATATTAAATAAATAATATGATTTTCATGATTTAAATAAATATTTTTTTATATTTTCTTATTTCTCAAATTAAAACTATCTTTAAATATTATTTATTTGAGTCTAAATGAAAGTCTAATTATTGTTTTTAGAGTGAACTTATTCATTTTAGACTTAATATAATTTTGATAATATTAGTTTTGAAAATAAATTAACTTAAAAAAAGTTATTTATAAGAATAAAATTTTTTAACCTATATTAATTCACAAAGCTTTAATATTTGAATTTTATATGGTTGAAAAGCTTTTTGAGTCTACTTTATAATGGATTAAACAAAATTCAAATCCAAATTTTTTAAAAAAAGATTTTGAATTTTTACTAGACATTTTATAATTGTCTAAAAATTGTACAAAGGGTAGTTTTGAAAATTCACTATAATTCGTGTACAATGAATTAAGTGATGAATTTTATATGGATGAAAGCCCTTTAAATCTAGTTTCTAAATCTTTAAACAATTTTTTATTTGGATTTGTATAACTCAAGATATGATCAAATTAGTAAGTAAAATGCAAAATAAGAGACAACCATCCAACTTTGACAACATTAATCCCCTCAACAAAAGGATCGATTGATTTTTTACCTAGCATATTTGTGCCTTTGGTTAAAGAAGGGATCAATCATCCTATGTAGGGGATTGATCACCCCCTTGAACCAATCAATCCCCTCACGGAAGGGATCGATTGGATCGTGCATTTTCAAGTTGAGAAATGATTTCAAAACTTGAAACAATCGATCTCCTCATGGAAGGGATCGATCGGGAATAAATTGAAACAACTTCAACGGCTACTTTATCAAGCTTCAATGGCTATTTTCTTCTCCCATGCATTTTCAATGGCCATTTCCTTAATTCTTCTATAAATTGGATACTTTAACACACCAAGGAGATTGATAAATCAAGAGAGCAAAATTCAACAAGTTATATTTTCATTATCTCAAATAATCAAGAGTTGTTAGAGCTTAAAATTCATATCTTTTTTATTTATTGTATCCAAGCTATATTATTGTTCATTCATCAAATTTCTTAAAAAGACTAAGGATAAAAAAAAACTCTATATTGGTGGAACTAAAGGCTTCAAGAGCTAGCTGAAACAGGGTTTTTTTTTTTTTTTTTTTGTAGGAGAATAATAGAAAGAAAGTAGGAGATAAGTCTACCTTAACAAATGCAAAGTTATGCTATTTATAAAGGGACTAACCCGTGTTAGGTTAATTATACAGCATTGTTTAACTAGGGCTATTTGCTACTGTTGTTTGCTTTTATTTGCTACAGTGGCTATTTTTGTCTACTATAGTGACTGCTACAATGGTCACTGTCGGTTGATAAGACAGATGTCTGGTGAATGTTGGTCTTACCAGCAGTTTTATTTTTTTTGTTGATAAGTGCTATAGGCTTATTCCTGATTAGAATAACTTATCCTTCTTGGATGTTATCCAGATTAAATGCTTCTTCATATTCTGGATTAAAAGACTATGGAGTATTTGTTCTGAATTTATTCCATATTTGCCATCGTTCTTGATATTGATATAAAAAATGTTGAGGATGGTCAATTGTTTCCATTTCAAAGAGCTGTTGGATTAAACTGAATGCTTCAGGTTTTGTTGGAACGGATTGTAAATCATTCTCTGAATATAATAATCTTGTCCAAATTCTTCTGCCTATTGGGCTAAAAGCCTCCAATCCAATCACACTAGCGGAAGCGAAATCAAACAATAAATCAAACACATAAGAGACAACAATTTAACGTGGTTCAGTCCAACTGACCTACATCCACGAATGAGAAACAAGATCCACTAGTTGTAGAGAATTGCAAACATACATCATATCATCAACCTCACTCAGTAATCAATACTCATAAGACACTCTCAATCTCTTCTAGTCCTATGGAGTATTCTCAACCCAAACAAACATAAACCCAAACCTTTGTGCACCCTTTCAACACAACCAAATACATACCCATATGTTCTCATACATCATACCTATGTAGACCCTCTCAGTCTCCTCTAGTCCACTCACAAACAAACATACACACCCATAAGACGTAGAGCCTCAATACTCCTATGAGGTGTCTATCCCACAAAATCCTACAACTCTCTTACATCTTTTTCTCATACCTAACCCTGTAGAGACTTCACCTATTTATAACCATACAAACTTGCCCATTAAGAATCTCTTTCATCTTAGAATTCTTCTCTTGCAAGTCAAACTTACCTATTAAGAATCCTCTTTCTCTTAGAATTCTTATTTTGTAAGTCTTCTTGTCCATCAAGCAATATCTGAAAAATCTCAAACAAATCTCTTATGGGATTTGAGTCAATATTCCCAACAATCTCCTCCTTGACTCAAATTCCATCAATCATCTATCTTCATGCTAGACATGCTTGGTTCCACCTGCAATAAAAGTTTTACAATCATCTTCTCTTCTCTTGTGTCTTTATGCTTCATACAAACTAATCTTTAATCTTCAAAACTTCAACTCGAACTCTTCTTTTAAATTGAGCTCCTCTAAACTTATTTCTTTTCATGTCTTAAACCAAGCTCTTCTCACATCTTAAACCTTTAGCTTTTCCATGTCTCAAACTTTCGGCTCTTTTCACATCTTGAATCTTCAACTCTTCTCACGTTTCGAACCTTCAGCTCTGATACCACTTGTTGAGGATCATCACAGCTTTGATACCACTTGTTAGAGAACACCACAGCTCTGATACCATTTGTTGGGCTAAAAGCCTCCAATCCAATCACACCAGTGAAAGTGAAATCAAACAATAAATCAAACAATAAATCAAACACACAAGAGATAACAATTTAACGTGATTCGGTCCAACTGACCTACATCCACGGATGAAAAATAAGATCCATTAGTTGTAGAGAATTACAAACATACATCATATCATCAACCTCACTCAGCAATCAATACTCATAAGACACTCTCAATCTCTTCTAGTCCTATGGAGTATTCTCAATCCAAACAAACACAAACCTAAACCTTTGTGTACCCTTTCAACACAACCAAACACATACCCATATGTTCCCATACATCATACCTATGTGGACCCTCTCAGTCTCTTTTAGTCCACTCACAAACAAACATACACACCCATAAGATGTAGAGCCTCAATACTCCTATGGGGTGTCTATCCCACAAAACCTTACAACTCTCTTACATCTTTTTTTATACCTAACCTTGTAGAGACTTCACCTATTTATAACCATACAAACTTGCCCATTAAGAATCTCTCTCCTCTTAGAATTCTTCTCTTGCAAGTCAAACTTACCTATTAAGAATCTTCTTTCTCTTAGAATTCTTATTTTGCAAGTTTTCTTGTCCATCAAGTGATATCTGAAAAATCTCAAACAAATCTCAAACAAATCTCTTATGGGATTTGAGTCAATATTCCCAATAATCTCCACATTGACTCAAATTTTATCAATCATCTATTTTCATGCTAGACATGCTTGGTTTCACCTACAATGGAAGTCTTACAATCATCTTCTCTTCTCTTATGTCTTCATGTTTCATACAAACCAATCCTTAATCTTCAAAACTCAAACTCGAACTCTTCTCTTGAATTGAGCTCCTCTAAACTTATTTCTTTCTATGTCTTAAACCAAGCTCTTCTCACATCTTAAACCTTTAGCTTTTCCATGTCTTAAACCTTTAACTCTTTTCACATCTTGAATCTTTAACTCTTTTCACGTTTCGAACTTTCAGCTCTGATACCACTTGTTGAGGATCACCACAGCTTTGATACCACTTGTTGGGGAACATCACAGCTCTGATACCATTTATTGAGCTAAAAGCCTCCAATCCAATCACACCAGTAAAAACGAAATCAAACAATAAATCAAACACACAAGAGACAATAATTTAACGTGG